AATGGCTATCTTTTTTATATAAAGTAATGGTCACACTAATATATATATTTGAAGTGTATTATAAATCTTAAGCTAAGAAAAAAAACAAAGAATGGAATTTAAGTGTTCATTATGAAAATTGTTTTCTTCTATAATATGGAAAAATTTCAAAGCATGTGTCGCATAAATAGTATTCTGAATAAAATATACAAAGCAGTTTGTCTTTAAATGCTATAAATAAAGGTGAAGTATATGGGCAAATAAATGTTAACACACATAAACCAACTACATCTGCAAAACAAATACTGACAAGGTCTTTCTCCAATACTAAGGCTCTTCACGCTGGCTTGGATATAAAAGACACAGTAGTGGTCTAGACACTAAATATAAATGTTTTTTTACAAACATCTGTTTTGGTGTGAAGCAAATTAATATTCAAAATGAACCACAGAGCCATTTTCATACTAGACAATGACCAATATCCTAATAATTAGTCAATTACTGTATATTTGCTGCATTCTTGTGCCTCTCCAAAATTTTGAAAAGGTTCCCTATTGAGTTCTAAGCAAAATGTTTCAAATTAAATATAAAAAAGTCAAACTTTCTTGATACAATTTGGTTCAAAATGAAATTTAATCCACATTCTTCTACTTCCCTTTTATCGTGCCTTAGAATGTAACACCACAATTTAAATCAGCCAGCTTATAAATACCATATGTCAAATTTAATACCACAGCCTTTGTCCACTGATTTAATTTAAAAAAGCTGACAGAGTACAACAGTTACTAAGAAATATTTTTTCAAAATACTAAATAAGCATTGTTGAAATTCAAGACTAACTAAAGATGTAAATAAATTTATATGACTAAAAAACACAGTTCATAAGTTTTGAATCCTATCCATTTTTATCTATATAAGCAATAAAGTATTACTTAAATGAGACTTCAAATTACAAAAATAATTCCTCCCACTTAGTGTTGGCTTCATTGCCAAACTTTTCTTTCTGATAATAACATCTTAATAATTCTCCTGCCCACATCTATTAGCAGTTATTTAGAACTCTGATTCTGTCATAAGTCTAATTCTTACTTTTGATAGAGATGTTCTTTGTCCTATCAAATTCATTTGTCATTATGATGTGCAAGTGATTGTTTTAACCCTACCAGTCTCAGATGAGTCAATTTTACATCATTATACTTAAAGCAGTGTTTCTCTAAAAGTAATGCATCTGTGGGCATGAAATTTGGCACATATTTTAAATTTTAGAGCTAGTATTTTACAAAAATCAGAAATTTGTGTCTAATATTTGTAATTCTCTCTTTTTTTATTTCTGAACATTTTCTGTGAAATAATGTTGTTGTGTTTTAATATCAACCAAGTATAACCCTTGGACTTTTCTTTTTTTACAGGATTTCTAAAAGTTTCTAAGGTTACACAACCAAGTTTTATTACAATAAAACTAAAAGTTGTAAGCATTTTTGGTAACCTCTATTTAGATTAAAGCTTTTAAATGGTCAGGAAAATGTTAAACATCACTTATTGTGATGAATCAATCAGGTTGTACCTAAGCATCAAGCAGTTGTATGTGGCATAAGATGTCAACAGCTATTTACACTTTCAGTGTTTATATTTTTACATTCCTTGTAAACAGAGCTACTAAACCATACAGGGTGTTTAACCAGAGAAATGGTCCATTTCATAACAAGAGGTATAGAAAATACTCAAAGTGTAGGGTTTAAAAACATTTTTTAATTAAAATATTAAATTCACTGCAGATTGTTTTTTTTTCCGCATTCCTCTTAGTTTGTCCAAAGCAGCTAAATATCAGGTCTGTAAAAAATAGCATTTCAGATCTAACTTTTGTGGGAAACAAAAGATAGATCTGAAATGCCATTCTTACACACTTCTGAATTTGAGCCACAATGGATAAACTGAGAGGAATGTGGAAAAAAAACAACAGAATCTTCAGTTAACCTGATCTTTGTAACAACTTTTAGGTCTAATTGTTTCCAATAGTCTACTAGCTTTCAATGCTTAAACTGCAACTTTTATATTATATCTCAGTTTCTAAAAAAAATAAAAAAGTCCAAAAACACATCATTCACCTTGGAAGGTAATGTTCTCTTCTGTTATTACAAAATCTAAAGTCTAGAGACCATAAAAATTTACAAAAAATTATAAATACAAGTTTTATAATTCATAAACAAGATACTGTAAACTTGATGTTTAGTTTAGTTGTTGTTAAGCATAAAGCTACACAATGGGCTATCTGTGCTCTTCTCACTACAATTATCAAAACCCAATTTTTATCATCAGAAGCCTGCAGGCTTACTGCTAAGCCACTGCACAACAAACAACGTGTTTGCATTTTTTTATAATATATTAATAAATATAACTCCAAAAATCATTCTGTTGTGTGCAAAACGTGCTATTTCAATACTTAAAGTATAAAAAAACAAACAAAAATTGAAAGTATTAGAAACACTTTTTACAAATTTTTAATAAAAGTTAGTGCAATAAAACGTTTTGGTTGACTAGTACAGCTACTAGGGTCAACAGCATTAAGAATATCACAAATGAGTAGGCTCATTTTGTTTTTAAAAAACCCTTTTGAAAAAGTAACAAACACCATAAGCTAACCAGATGTCAATCTTCAATAATCCTCCCCCCCCCAATAAATTTAATCAAAAACTTAACTTACAAGTATCCATTTCTCAGCTATAAAAAGTGTAGCATTCAGGAGTTCAAAAATCTGTAAAATAATTTTACCTTCTGATATAAAAAAAAAGCAAAAAAAATAACTAAATTACCTTTATATCACCACCAGTCTGGCTTCCTTCTGTATTACTACGAGCACGCCTAGGTCTTCCATAGTACGAATTGCGGGGATAAAAACGACGAGGACGTCTTCTTGAAAACTGGCCCTTTTCCCATTGATATCCTTGATGGGGACTTCCGTCCCCACTATTTTCTTCATCAGTTTGTTGCTGTTGTCTTCCCTGTTATAAAAAAAATCATACCTCTCAAGAAAATTCTTAATCAGTCTGTTGTTTTAGTTTTATTTATTACTAACAATTTTAGTTTGGGTGAAACATTTTTTAAACTGTTTATGTTTTTAATCTTTCAGTTTCTGTTGAATAAGTTTGTTTGCCCTCTTTTAGCTTCCATTATAACTCCTCTGGAGCATGATGAAATACCTAAGACAAATGTTTGAGGGAATATAAGAGGGTGGTGAGAAAAAGAAGACGACGTGAAAATGGGGAACCAGAAATAAAAACTGAAGGCAAGAGGTTCAAACCCCAAGTAGGCCAAATACATACCTAAAACAAGGAATATAGAAAGGAAAGGAAGAATGTCTGTAAGTAAGGACAAAAGAGTCACAAATGAAAGAGGAGCAAGACATGAGGGTGTGAAAGAGGAGCTGTTCCAAAACAACATAAGACCTTAATAACAAGCACAGGAGGAAAAACAAAGAAGCCAAGGGATTGGGTTCATGAAATAAAGAACAGGCAATATTAAAAGATACAGACAAAAGATAAGGAAAAGGAACATACCTGATGATGATATCCAGAAAGAGATTTGAAAGCTAAGGTCATTCCTTGAATAGTAAGGCACTATGCAAACAAAGGTTCAATATGTAATCAAATAGGTCATTCATGACCAAGGAGAAAGAACATCAGCCGAAGGGGCAGGAGTAGGAAAACTAGTAAGCATGTGGTAATCTACTACACACCGAACAAAGTCTACAGTGTCCCTCCAGAAGCCATAGTATAAATAAAGCCTGTGTGTGTAACATCGTCACTCACACAAGACTAAGTAGATGTCACCATCACCTGAGAATTAAAGTTAAAACTTCTGATACAAAAGCTAAAGAAAACAAAAATCAAAGTTTTGTTAACAAATGCAAATTTCATCAAATTGAACTCCGATGAGAAATTTGAACACACCTGTTAAATGCAATGCCAAGGAAAAGAATGAAGTTATCACTAGTCCAAGTGCATAGGGAAAGTTACTGAGCATGTTTCCCTCTTATTGATGGAGGTCTATTGTTGCATGACGATATCATAGTGCACCAGTGCAGTTCAAGTTAAAAACATGAATTCAGATGGGAGTTAGCTCATGGCTAGTGGCATGCAATTTTCACAGACAGATGTGCAAGGGAAATAGCATTTTTGTGTGAGTAGGCGAGTTATTGTCTCGGAAAATAAAAGTTAATATTTGATTCAATGTTTGATCGTTGCAATTATTACAGAGTTGTGGAAAATCAAAAAATTTTTCAACCAGTACAAAAGTAAAAGAAGGAGTGTTTCTTGTGTGTTGCTTTGAGCAAAACAAAAAGAATAAAATGAAAATTTTATTCTTGCAAATATTACAAAATATTTGAGGTTCACAATGAAACTTGCACATAATTGGCAAATTGTTTTACACTTCTTATCCTTTGTTACAAATAAATAGGCTCAATGAGCATTTTTTTAAACTGAATAATTTAAATTCCACTGGGAATTTTTGTAGATTCATGCGATGGAGCCATTCAGAGCACCAACATCCAATGCGTTATTAAGTACAATAGCAGAGCATCAATTGGTTTCTTTTTCATCAAATTTGGTGAAATATGAGATTTCTCATCTTGCCTAATTTTATCAACATCTGTCTGGCTTTCTCTGTCTTCCTTTTCTAAAACAATGTGAAACTGAACAGCAGTGATCACTAAATGCAAAATTTTGATAAAGTATACTGCTTTCCATCATTTTTAATTAACACTTTCCATACGGACATATAGATCATTAATGTGGTGTCAGTTTTGATACTAGTGATACTTATTGCAAAACTGTGGAATATACCAGGAAAACTAAAATTAAATATCAATCATGTATTACAAACACACACATACTCATAACAATTCTGAATATGGCAAGGACAATTTGGGGGTAAAAAATAATTAAAGGGAACTCTAGAATTAATTTGAAATATTGGAAATTCCCTATACATTTTTGTGATCATTAATAAAAAATAATTTGTTACAACTAACTTTGTTTAGCTAACTAAAAATTAAGCAGCAATGAAACTTTGTTGATTCTATAAAATTACAATTATTACAGCTAATTTCCTTGTTAAATTGATAAGAGAATAATGAAATGGTTTAAAGCTATTTAGTACTTATATTTTGTCCTCATTTATTCTGGAAAGTATTGCTAAAGCCTACTTTCAACAATTTCCTACCTCACTGTACTGATCTTGTCGATTCCCACGTGGGGGGCCACGAGGTCGTCGAAAGTACCGTGCATAAAATCTTGGTCTCTGCCTTCTACGTTGAGGTTTAATGTTCTCCTCACCTCCCTCATCATCCTGTTCTTCATTCTCACTAGAACGATGCTACAGAAAACAACGTTGTATATAGAATCAATAGGCAACAAATACATCAACATTACAATATAAAATGCCACTCTATACAATTAATTCACTTACATCAATAACTAATTAGACCACACATAATTAAAAATATGTTTTTATCTTCTTCATGCATGAATATTAAACTGTTCTTTAATGTAGATTCCTATACCATCTGATTTCCTGTTAATATCTTTAAATATATGAGTAATTTGAAGTTATTATATTTGTAAATTGATTAAAAACCCCTTTATCTGAACAGTTTTTTCAATAGTTTTATCTTGTATTTTTATGTTTATACTTAAGGCACTAGAAAAAAACATACACAAACGTTTTACTTGTTCTCAAAGCCGAATTTTCAAAACATATAAACAATTTTAAAATGTATCTTCAAATTGGTTTATTACTTTCAAGATTTTGATAGATTTTTCTTTGTGTGACAAAATAGGCAAATTATTATTTGGCAAAACTAATTCATTTTGTAATTATATACAACACTATCATTTATCTAAGTAAATCACTCCTAAATATTAAATGAAGACTCGTCCAAGAACTACTCACTAAGCTATAAAACAGAAAAATATTAACAAAATCAAATTGTGAACCCAAAATATTTTGTAATAATTGCAACATTATATATCAGCACTAAAATTCCCTCCTATTTTGTAAATTTTTATACAACAAACTGTATCTTTTAACTAATGTTTCCTGTCTTTCAGTTTGGTTTTGAGCAAAGCTTTGTGCTGAATTCTGAGCCCATGTATCAAACACACCCCTAAATCCATTTTGAAAGAAGTAGAAATAAAAAATATTTTCAGAAACTACATTGAATCTTGGAAGGCAAGTCCATATAGCTGAGAAGAATAAACTATATTGAATCTTTTAAGGCAAGTCCATATAGCTGAGAAGAATAAACTACATTGAATCTTGTAAGGCAAGTCCATATAGCTGAGAAGAATAAACTACATTGAATCTTGTAAGGCAAGTTCATATAGCTGAGAAGAATAAACTACATTGAATCTTGTAAGGCAAGTCCATATAGCTGAGAAGAATAAACTATACTGAATCTTGTAAGGCAAGTCCATATAGCTGAGAAGAATAAACTACACCGAATCTTGTAAGGCAAGTCC